ATTTATTTTTATAACTCCTCGACTGAATTTTATAAGACGTTCGAATACTTATGTTGCACAAAAATTCGATGTTCCTTTATATTTTTTTAATTATGTAGATGTCTTATACTAAATCAAAAGTTTCTTGCATTTTGACATTTATGTACTCTACCGTAATATACCGTAAAGTATTTTATCCCCTCAATGTATATTTATTTAAATATATGGCGTAGAAGTCGAAGTTACACTAGTGTTCGAATACTTTTGTTTTACCCACTGTATTTAACTTTGTAACCGAGCTAAGAAATTACCAATGACGCAGTATGCGCTTAATTTAGAAATTAGAATTGAATCAGTTACCTCCTTTTATCTCTCTGTTTATATTATTTTCCAGTTGTTTCATCAAATCTTCATGTTTCTTTGGAATTATCACATCCGAAAACTCGGCTAGAGAGGGAATTTTGCAATCAGGATCGACAGAATGTATAAATTTCTTAAATATGGCATCATCCACGAGACTAAGTGGTTTCGTATCTGTTATCATCATTTCAGCTATTCTATTAGTCTGCTTCACACATTCACGTCTGACTGTTTTGTTGCACTTCGCTGAATGACTGATCAATTTTTGCGTACTCCCCTTCATTTGAATCTTAGTATTACAAAAGCGACACTCTACTTTACCGTTGATCATATTGTACTTATTAAATATACTTTCACTACTCATATTACGGGACTTTATACTATAATATAATGATGAATTGATATTTATTGTAGAACGTTGTGAGGTATGTGTACTGAGTAATACTGAAAGCAATCAATATATATATATAGGAAATCCTCCACCCTGTCGCTTGCATTATCAAGATTTGTTCTAAGCAAGTTACTGCTATTAGTCACAAAATACTTTACAATAGTCATAATCTTCGAGAATCTATGTTATCAATATCAAAGAATTCTCTTTTATAGCTTCAGTATTGTAATTTTCCACTTTTCCTTTTCAGTACCATTGTGTTCATTAATTCAGCTCGGTATCATCAATAGCACGTAAAGTCTGACGTCACTTTCGGGACTTCCCAATTCGCGACCTCCCGATTAACGTTTATAGAAGCTGTACTTAATTAAATGTACCGCGTCTCCAGCACACCACTGCCTTATTTGGAGGACTAAACAATTAACATGTCGAGTATCGAAAATCATGCCCCAAAATGCCCACAATATCTGCATAATTTGGTTAATGAAACTGAAACATCATTGTTGGTTTAACACTTTTGCATCTTTTTTTCATGCGATACGAAAGAGATGTAACGCAGCGGTGTAACCGTACAGTGGTGTCAACAATTACGAAAATCGCTCTTAACCACTCCAATAGCACCCACTAACAGCTATTTTTTTGCATATTAAAGTTAAGACTTTACCCTACACATTGGCGCAATAATTAAATTACTGAATTCCACTGAATTTGTGTAAAAATCCAGAATATATATAAAAACAGAAATATGAAATGACGCGTAAGTCGAGAAAAATGTATACCATCAAAATGCAATTTTCCAGAATTCAAATACATGCCTGAGCACAGTTATTCCCATCAGCAATCAGTCGAATGAAGAAAATAACAGCACTGAGAATAACAATTTCATATTTCGGACAATTTGAGGCAGGCATCTCCAATAGCACCCATTAGCAGCTAATTTTTTTGCATATTAAAGTTAAGACTTTACCCTACACATTGGCGCAATAATTAAATTACTGAATACCACTGAATTTGTGTAAAAAATCCAGAATGAGAAAACAAAAATATGAAATGACGCGTAAGTCGAGAAAAATGTATACTATCAAAATATAGAGAAAGACACCCACGCGGCAGCCATTAGCATAACAATTCCAAGTGGACACACAAGTCTCGCGACTAACAAGGCAATTAATATATAGATCCGTGGCTGGTACTACGTACGTCCCCGCTCCGCCCTGCGCCGGTCCCTTCCTTTACAATTAGAATCCTTTTTTCTAATTTTTTTGTTAGTTTTTTCCTTTTTTTAAAATTCTTTTATTATATAAATATAATATATATATTTGTATATAATACTATCAAAATGCAATTTTCCAGAATTCAAATACATGCCTGAACACACTTATCCCCACCAGCAATCGGTCGAATGAAGAAAATAACAGCACCGCGAATAACAATTTCATATTTCGGTCAATTTGAGACGGATATCTTTTTCATCGCGCAGCCGTGTCAATAATTCATAAAGACGCGACCCAATGTTCGGTTAATTATCTGCGCAGCTTTTCTTTTTTCACTTCGAGGACATTTATGAAACGGGACTTTTACCGCTTTCGTGTGTTTCCTGCCTTATACTACTGTGATCAAAAAGTAAGGTGAATTTGTTTATAAAATGTAAATTCTTTGTTTATTCTTCCAAATCAATTTCATCCCCTTCAAAGTAATCCCCGTCCGATAAAACGCACTGTTTCCGACGCTTTTTCCAGTCCTCGAAACAGTCGGAATAGTCTTTTTCCGGTATAGCCTTCAAGACCTTCTTCGATTCGGTTTTTATCTCCTCAATCGTGTCAAAACGGCGTCCCCGCATTGGCTTTTTGAGTTTGCTGAATAACCAGAAGTCGCACGGAGCCAAATCAGGCGAATACGGTGGTTGCGGAACGATATGAGTCGAGTTTTTGGCAAAAAAGTCGCGAAGAACCAATGCAGTATGACATGGCACCAATCGAGACTTGACGCGTTTGAGACACAAATCATCCTTCAAAATGGTTTGGACTGAGCCAAATGATATTCCAACACTATCAGCGAGGTCTCTCATTGTCAGTCGACGATTTTCAAGCACCAAATCTTCGATTTTTTTGGACGTGGCCCTCGTCGGTAGACGTTGATGGTCGTCCAGAGCGCGGTTCGTCTTCAACGCGTTCTCGGCCCGCTTTGAACTTGTTGTACCACTTATAAACGTTTTTTTGTGCCATAGTTTGATCACCAAAGGCCTTCCGTAACATTTTCAACGTGTCCGCAGAAGAATATTCGTTCCGCAAACAAAATTTGATGCAAGTTCTTTGCTCAACAAAATCACCCATTGTAAAAATCGAAAAATTCACTTTTGGTTGTTTACAAAAACACGTGTAACTCGGAGATAATTAAACCTTTTGACAAACAGACGCTTGGCAAATGTTACAGACAGTCCTACCAACCTAGGAAAAAAAAATTACCTGCCTTCCTAATGCCCGGAAGTTTTAAATGACAATTTCACCTTACTTTTTGATCACAGTAGTACGTAGCGCGGCGTTCAGCGAAATTCATTACGCGCGCTCATTACTATCGTCGCGTCCGCGTTCCCTCCGCCCGCCGGGGTCCACGTTCGGTCCCAGTGAACGTGGCCGCGTTCAAAACGCTATATTTTACGAGTCTGCCCCTTTTCTTCCCCTTCAGCGCGAGCATTTAGCATTCGAAGTGGCGTTAAAGCGTGTATAGGCAACTACGCGGCCGGCTGGCAACGCTCGCGATGTCCGCGCGCGGAGCACACGGTCGCCGCACCGCAGTTAATATAAATCTCGCGCGGTACCGCACGCGGCTGGTTTATAGATTTATGCGGCCGGCATTTATGAGAAAAGGACACGGGCCCGTGTAGTTTGGGCAACGGACAGAGAAGAAGGAACCGGCGCAGGGCGGAGCGGGGACGCACGTAGTACCAGCCACGGATCTATATATTAATTGCCTTGTTAGTCGCGAGACTTGTGTGTCCACTCGGAATTGTTATGCTAATGGCTGCCGCGTGGGTGTCTTTCTCTCTCCCTTTATTCTTGTCTTCCCTCCCGCGGCTCGGCTCGCTGCCGGTGAATCGTTAAGCCTTTGCTGTCTCCGCGACTTTTGTCGTTTCCATCATTTTTTGACAGTTCACTAGTCCAACAATTATAGTAGACCTTACAATTAAGGTCTAGCCTACTATCAGCTGGTCCGAGATTATCGCAGTGCGGCCAAGAAAGTAGGACTGTTGGGCTAGCAAAATTATAGTGAAGCATGTTCACAGTGAAATAAACTCACGTTTATGAGAAAGCGAAAGCTTCAGAAGGTAGCATCAGTTGATAGTATTGCAATTAACCCCTTAACGCACAGTCGTTTTGAAAAAATCCGGCCAAAAGAAATCAATTTCTTTTTTATGTAAAAAAACACAATTTAGAACTATATCTTATTCTCGAATAAATAAGTGTTATAGTTTACAAAAATGTCAACAAACATCGCCGCAGCGCTGAGCCGGTGACACGCGCACGTGACTCCGGCCGATAACCGTTGGGAAGCAGAAGCGTGGGAACCGTTGGACAGCGGCCGGCAAAATGTTAAGTATGAATGCTATTCCTGTAAGTCGCAATAATAAATTCTGTTTTCTAGGCAATTCTTACAAATGATAAAGCGTTCCAATCATTGTAGTTTCAAAGATAATAGTTACGGCAAGCGATTAACACTTGACGATAAGTGACCTAGGAATTATCAACGCTGACTGCAGATGAGCAACAATAACTTGTTCGATGTAAGTTCAGCAGCGACGAAATGCGACATAAAGGGCCACAAAGGACTCACGGAAGGACTGCGATTAGAAGCGAGCAGGAGGACAAAAGGACGTCAGCGATAGAGGAAGGAGGGACGAAGAAGCTGCGTGTTCGAAGCAATCCTTCGGGCGACGCGCGTAATTCCAGATAATTTAAAGGGGAATTGAAGCCTCGAAGCGAGCAGCGACCAAGAAGAGGGAGCGAGCTGGAGGGTCGGTAGAGAGCCAGGCCCACGAAAAAAGGACTCGCGAGCGTCGGGAAGATCGATCGACGATCCTCTTCAACGGGCCGTCCTCGTTGTCCCTTTCGGACGCGCGCGCTGCGTTTGCGACCACCTCGTGCCTCGCAATTAGCGAATTACGGCTCGCCGAAGCCCGTTAATTAAATCGAAGCCAATAGCAGGCGGCTGGCCTTTTATTACTCGCACCTATGACGATGCCTCGCTGCGAGCGCGGGGCTCCCTGTTGTCGGTAAACCCGTGGCATGCGTTCGCCGATTCCGTGAGCCAGCAGAAAACATTGCTCGGTGATTGGTATCGAGCGCAATAAAATCGCGTTGACGTGTCAGGCATGTCCGAGATGTTCCTTCAAACGAACCGATGGTCCTACGAATGGTAGAAGGGAACAATTAAGGGACACGTTACAAAACTTTTATAAAATTGTATCGTTCGTGTTGAATTTTATTGGGATAGAATAGGACTAGCTTGCTAGACAATTCGCAAAACGATGTTTGCCAAAAAAGCAATTAGATGAAAGGACGAAAGAAATTAAAAAAAGAAAAACGATTATCGATACAACTTCTTCCGAGATAAAATTTTCTTACAGCCAGGAGAGTCAATCTGTTATGTCTTCTATGTTTCGTGACTCCGGGGTATGTCCGTCGCTCGTAACATTGACTGGCATAAGCAAATAAAGCTTCGTCCGGTCAGAGCTGGCTCTTAGTCTATATAGCTCTTTTAAGGAAGATATTCGTTGTTGTATTAATAGTGACCGCGTCAGAAAACGAAGCAACGAGGAAACGGAAGGCGATAATGATGAAGAATACAATGTAATGCTCAACTAAAGCCAGGTGTAATTCTTAAATGCAAGTAATTCGCGTGATTTAATTTGCCGCGGCGTACGAAGGATCGGAATAGTATCATAGTAGTTTATTGTTATTGTTTACTGGCCAATT